GCCTGCCAAACTGAGGCACTCCCCTCATCGCGTCCCTCCACTTTCATTCGATAGTATTTGTATGTGTTCTTGTTTGTGGATCAATGAAATTATATTTTTGATTCACTTTCAATTGCTGGTAGCTTTCTTTATCTAAACATTCGTAAGCTTTCCAGCAATCACAGATGATTATTTCTGGTCTTATATACTCTTTGATTACTTTTAATAATGTTTCTCCGCCACATTTCTCGACCGGTACCATAAAAATATCTTCCGATTCCCTACAGAATCCTCCAAATACCCACTGGCCCCCTATAATTTTTCCAACGTTATATTTCCTTTTTCCGAACTTTGACTCGTCAATTTCAATATGCAATGCTTCACCACCAATTGATTTAGTATAGTCCATACACCATTTAATTAAAACTTCTCAGGAAGAGCTTGCCCAATCACAAATTGTTTTATTACTGATTTTTAGCTCATGTTTTACCAAGTCATTATTAAATTCTGGTCTTAAGTAAAGGTTGATTAATAGGAAATGCAATTCAATAATCAGTTTTGCATTACTAAACTGTGTATTTTTAAAGATAGTCACCTTAAAATTACATAGTATTTTCTTTTTCTTTGGTCTGGGGACATAACTTTTTCCATACTGGAAAGTATGTTGTTTCAATTCTATTTTACATGTTTCTTTGCACTTGGGGTATTTAAATGCTTTAAGAATTAGATCATGGTGTTGCGCAAGTTTAATGAGTTGTTCTGGTTGATCCCCATATTTTTAAATAAAATCAGTATATGATAAATCACACCGGTCACAAAACATTACTGGTAACTTCACTGTCTCACTTACAAGTACCGAGGGCAACCGCGATGACAGGTGTACTGGCGAAGCATATCAATGTGCCATACAATGACGTCACCCCAAATTTTGAAGTGCTTAAAATGTGAATAGGTTAAAGAAATTAGTTAGATGAATTAATATAATGATAATTTATATCGTTTGGAGAGTAAGTATTGAAAATCAACTTGAAATTACGTGTAAATGTCTACCAAATGATAGATAAGAGTATATGCACTACTTTCTTGAGCGCCATTTTCAGAGTTACATGGTTTGTTTACATTGACTTAACCGATAAGCGAAGAAGGGGACTTAGTCTATGAGCAACATATTTTGGCACCTTTATTTTAATATTATGTAGTAATTATGTTTCTCCGTGCTTTAAATTTGACTTCCCTGATTAGTTTGCATGTTGTTTATCCATTTTAGTTGTATTTCATGTTTGTTTACTAAAATTCTATATCATCCCGATTTACCTTTTATTGATTTTGAAGCACAGATACTTTCCTTAAATATTGACCAAAGAGGGTCAGATAACTTTCTGCTGGGTTAATCTTTATCGTGTGGATGCACCAAGCTAGGATAAATTGATGATGATAATCGTGTAGAAGAAAAAAATTGCTGTTATTGGTACAAGAAGTAATCTGTAGGCGTGAATGGTAATGCCACAAATAAAGGAAAAAAATTGCAGAAAGGGCAACCCAAAAGTCCACTTGGTGCTCCTGAGTTTTAGTTCTATGTTGCGGCAGTTACCAAGGTGAAAACATTGTTTAATGGGGGTGTTGGGGTGGAACCCCCCCCCATTAACTCTCCCTTCGTATGCCCAGTTACGCATTATAGATTGTTGAATAAGTTTTGTGATGTGGAGTTGTGGACTTCATCTCTGACAAGTTCACCTGTACTGTGAAGAATTACCTTCTATTGTTTGAAATTTTAATTGAAAACAGTGTTTCCTGGTGTCTTTGTGATATCACATGTTTATTTAGAAATATTCTCTGTGATGCAGTGTACTACTTCAGAAGCAGTATGTCTCTTAGTTTGTAAGGTATTCTGTGATCCACCTGATTTTTCCTTTGTGAAAATGTAGTGATACTTTAGTGCGATACTACTCAAATGAAGGAAAGCACATACATTATAGACATATTGTTTATAATTCATTGAAGTTTATACTTGTTTCTTGTTATATTTTAATATACTCCTTTTATATCTAGTATATTATTTTTCTTCATTTATTTAGGATTTGTCTATCCACAATTATTTTCCTCTAAGAAATTGGTCTTAGAAATGTGGAATATTAACCTAATGCTGCCGGGAAAATGTTGCGTTCACTCTAGTATTGTTTTATTAAATGTTTCTGCACATAGATGGCTTTGCCAGTTATTAGCCACAAAGGAGTTAATTAGTAGATTGTGTGACCTCACCTTTCCTTGAAATAGTGGATAAATATTATTTTATTTTATTTTACTAATGCTATCAATATTGATACTGTTTTTTTTTTTGTTATAAACATTATAATTACTATTATTATTGACATCACTAACAGTAGTATTAAATACTAGAAAATATTATAAAAAATCAAGGAAAATTAAATTAAACACACTGGGCATGGCATGTACACATGCTATCCCTGGTGGCATGTGGTTAACATAGATACAATATTATGTTATGAAGAAAATTGGCAAG